GATAGTTCAAGAAACGTTGCGTCCCCAAGTGTTCTATGATTTTAACTTTTGTAACCATATCCTTGATTAATAATAATTCTAGAATAGCATCCTCCATGGTTGGCTCTCTGACTATTTGGTATAGAAAAGTACCATGAATAACTTCAACAAACCTCTCTCCCTCACCATTTGACTCCATACAATCCTAATCAATGTCTAAGATTAATAACCCATAATTATTGCATCACTATTTTTTAGTAGCAACCCTGATTTAGATATACAATTTTTCGTTGACCTCATCTGTCTGATTAAGTGATCTATAACAGCTGCCAATTAAAAATTTTATACCCTTGAAACCCCTCATTGTAACCATTGTAGATTCAACCTGTTGATTACTATTTTTACTTCTTCAGTCCTAATAGACTGCAGTTCATTTCTTATATAAAGAACCTCTTTTTAACAAGTCTATCACCATTAAGCAACTTATAACTTGAAATTTCAAAATAATCCTTATTATCAGTATTTCCCAAACCTAACCAAATTTCATTAATTCTCATTATATCATAACCTTCTATTTAACTACAGGCCTGAACTCATTCATTCTGTTTCCAATACTCATAACATTAGAATAATAGCAACTAAGTTTATTTTTGGATCTACTGTGTTTATCTTTAAATCTGACAATCTTATTTTTAAAACTATTTGTTATTATGCCCTAAATTTCCTATTTCCAAACTCTCTGTTGCCCTAGCTGTCCAATGTATATATTGATTTCCAAACTCCCTCAACAGTATACAAGTTAAGCTTAAACTATCCTTAATGAATACACTTAAGAGCTTCCCCAAACATTATGGCATATAACCTGCTTATGTGGAGCCCCTCTGTAACATATAATTCACCATTATCTCATACTATCCCACATGTTCAACCAGTCCACCTATTCCTCTAAGCATGTCCCTGATAATAGTTAAGCAAATGTTCCTTAGTACCAACAACTAAAATCTGTTCTGTCCTATAAGTTTAGCACCTGGCAAGTAAATTTAGTTCTAGTCTTATTCTACATTGCAAGCAAAAATTATTGAAACTGTACACAAAATGTTCTACACAAACATTTTTGTTGAAGAAAAAGACAACCAAACTTAACTTATGAAAGCACTATGTAAATAAACACTTCTCTTCATTCTAGGTCAGTTTCTTTGATTGTTGGATGAAATTACTTAACAAAATGAGCACCCAAGTAAACCTGACAAACACCAGTTGAATTCTAATAACTAGCTAGCTCTGCTTAGAGCTTTATTACTAACCAGAATTTCCAACTTCTCTATCTTCATATATAACTAACGTAGCAGACAGATAATTGAGACAAAAGGGGCTTAATATTTGATAAATTTAAGACATGAATTAGCAGTTTTCCCTTGATTTTTTTCAAGCTGATAAAGAAAATATTTCCACTTGACAAACAGTGTCTATCTTAAAATTCATTGCATTCTTAATGACCATTCCATATTTAGAAAGTTTTCTCATGATCCAGCCTTCATTATGGAGTTAAACTTCAGAAATTTCTTCTTCATTTAAAGGAAGAAAGCTTTATCTCTGATGTAGTTTATAATAAAACTAAACCTCATCCAGGCATACTCTATGTTCACATTAGTTTTAGTAACCTGTATAATTTTATGTTCAAATTAGTTTCTAGTAACCTGTATACTCTTATGTTCACATTAGTTTCTAGTAACCTTTATACTCTTATGTTCACATTAGTTTCTAGTAACCTGTATACTCTTATGTTCACATTAGTTTCTAGTAACCTGTACACTCTGATGTTCACATTAGTTTCTAGTAACCTGTACACTCTGATGTTCACATTAGTTTCTAGTAACCTGTATACTCTTATGTTCACATTAGTTTCTAGTAACCTGTATACTCTTATGTTCACATTAGTTTCTAGTAACCTGTATACTCTTATGTTCACATTAGTTTCTAGTAACCTGTATACTCACATAACTTAGTAATTTTCTATGTTGTTTTTAAGCATGTACTGCAGATGAATATCAGTGTGATCAGAAGTGTGTTCCCAGCACTTGGAGGTGTGACGGGGAACCAGACTGTTTAGATGGAAGTGATGAAAGGGGCTGCCCTAGTGAACCAGGTTATTATCTTACATTTTTTTAAGAATATTTCTAAAAATTCATCTCATTAGTAGTATATTCATTAATAAAAGTTATATCTTTTCATTATTTGTCAAAAATATATAAATTACTTGTTAGTTACTAATAGTTATTTTATAGTTTTTCTTATGAAAACCATTGCATTTCTGACTAAATTTACATACAACTTAATACCCTGCAATACATACATTGTTATTATTATTATTACAATTTGCAATGATGCAGTTGAAAAGATCCTGTTTTTTAATCTTCCTTGACTAGAAAAGAGTATTTCTTTATTTAAGTTTATCTAGATATATATTTCACAGTTCTCATGCAGATTGCCAGAATTTAGTCATTTAACATCTTTGCACATGTGAAATATAAATTTGTACTAATCCACTATCTTAGGCAAAGATTATTTACTACAGTGGTCACTCTGTGAAAGCTCGATCCTGTTTTTGTATCATTGCTTCCATGGAGTGTAGGTCACATTAAAGCTTATGGGTAGAGTAGAAACTAGGCAATTTAGTATAACTTGAGGTTATATATCCCTTGAATGTATTTGACAGAAATGATTGTTAATATAGGTACCCTGGGAATGTGGGACACTGTACTTAGACTTTGGCCGGGTTAGTGTAGCATAATCATCATTCCTACTCCTGTCTCTGTTATGTGGAAAAGTTAGATTTTTTATCTGTTTCAAAAGCTAATCAAAATATAAGCAAACAATAAAGCTAAGTTACTTTACTAAAAATCTCAAACAATTGTAATGTGAATAAAATTTTATCTCTTCACTTGTATTTACTTTATTTCTTAACTGTATATGCTTGATTCATTCTATACTTATTATTTCTAGAATTTGTTTATTACATATTACAAATAACTTACTTAGCTGACATCAATCAACCTAAATACCACAATATTTTGGAATTTATATTTCTTTTGAATGTATTTACAACTTTGAACATTTTTATCAGACTTCTTTTAATACAATAATGTTTTTGCATATTACTTTATATGTATGCTATGTTGCATAGGGTACACAATTGCACAATACTTCAATTATACTGTCAGATATAAAAGACTATTTAGTGTAAGTATTATTATTAATGGATTTATTTTGTGTTTATAATTCATTGATGTCGATGGCTATTGGACATCCCGTGCAATCCATTGATGTTGAGGACCTAGAGATTTCTAGAAGGCCTAAGTGATAGATGTATAAATAGTGGCAGGCAGACGAAAAAAAGTAACAGAAGAGAGTAAAGTCACGGGAAGGAGTAGTTCAGTCAGAGAAAAGTTAAATGCAGTTAATAGAAAAGGGTAGCTGCAATTAAAAACCAGGTTGGCTCACAAAGAGTTTGAGATAAAATTAAAGAAAAGCATAATAAATTTAAGAAATTTCA